CTCTCTCTCTCTCTCTCTCTCTTTTTCTCTGCTATTCTCACCCCTGCCGGATTCTCCGTCTCTCTTTCTTCTACCTCCCATACCCTCGTTCTCTATCACGTAGACGTAGTAGAAACGGGGTGTTCAGTGGGAACCAGCTTTCTGTTATACGACGCATACACACTGCAGTTCACAACTGTTACGTACGTGTCCCGCGTACGTACAGGGTGGTACGAAACGAGAGAGAGAGAAAGAGAAATAGGGTGAGACGACACCCCGTGAGAAAAGGAAATTCGGAGGCGGATAGTACCACGCGGTGAAATCTTCGAGAAGTGTCCGCCATTTTCGCTCCATTTCCTACTGATACTCTTTTTCTCTTTGCAGAAATCGAACTCGGGGGCTTAATTACTGCGGCGCGCGATAAGATAAAAAGCCGTTTTAGAATTGTTCGGAGAATTAAGACCGATCTACGAGGTCGGCAGGTTGCTCAGGTGAAAAGATCGGTGAGAGATGACGATAATGGATAAGGGCCGACTTATTGTTCAGGTCAACACTCCTGGGACGAAACGCTACATCGATTCACGTTGTTTTGACACGCATACGTTCGCAGCGCATTAAAATCAACGATGAATTAGCGGTTAAATACGGGAATCTGGATCGAAAGCGACAAAAATAACCGTCCCTAATATTAATAATGATATTCGAAACAGTCCCGCATAATTCATTCGTCACATTTAATTAGACAAATATGAAATATTGCTCGAGATTATTTTTTTATTTACGACGTAGACGCGATTAAAATTCCCGCAAATAATTCTCACAACGCAGCTTCTCAAATATCGATCGTGTTAAAACAGCCGCGAAGATCGCGAGTGAACGATTTCGACGAAAACGGAAAAACAAAGTGGTCTTTCATTCATTTTTCCGCATTTTACTCGGATCTCTGGTGGCTTTCATTAATCCTATATTTCTCTCTTCGTATTCCCTCGCGAAAGGCTCTCTCTTTGCAGGACAATTCGCAACTTTTACGCGTTCCCCCCCCCCCCCCCCCAACAAACCCCAAGAGGATTATCGGTGTCTCCCCTCGATAATTATACACATTTCGCGATCTTGTCTCATTTTCGTTGTTCGTCGCTCGAATCTGTGTAGCCCTCTTCTGTGTGTTCTCCTCGTCCCCCGTCTGTATAATTTTTGCAAACAGTTCTTTCTTCCTCGTCGTCGTCGTCGTCTGAAGATTATCGTCGACAGGACGCCAACACGGAAGATACCACAGCTGAGAGTCTCGAAAGTATAGGGAGAAAGAGAGAACTGTGACAGCGCAGCATCGATTCGATCTCCATCCAAGAGAGCCGAACGGCTCCCCCGTTCGTGCGCGAAAATGTAAATGTCTCGACCTAACCAAACGGATAGACAAACGCACCACGAAGGACTCCGCAAAGTTTTGCCGTTTTACCGTTTTTTTCTTGTCTCCGATCGAGGATTCGCCCGCGAGAGAGAAAGACCGCGCGCCTTGCAGGACGCGAGGATCGTTCCCGTTCGCGTTACAGCCCGCATTTCAATTCCGAATCGCAAAATGAGTCGATCATTGGAAAAAGGACATGTGTCAATTTCTCCTCTTACAAACAATAATTTACTGAGGAAATAAAGAAATGAGGATTTTTTTTTTAGAAAAACCAAAAAAATTCGTAATTTGTTAAAGAGAAAGGAAGAAATAATATTTTTTTTTCTAGAAAAAAATATTGCGCGATTAAATTATATTTTATGGTCAAAAATATTCAGATTTTTCTGTCGCGATAAATTCAGCGAGATGACATATGTCTGTTGTAATTATTAATTACACAACAAGATAATTAACGACAATTAACAATTACAATAATTACAGCGAGAATCTTTTCATCTTTCTGGCACGCTCCTCTATTCTGTAATGAACGCTCTTTTTTGCAAAAAAAAGTCGCGCGCGCGGGAACTCCTCTCACACCCTGTATATTTCGCTGCGATTGAACGCTGGATTTAGTTGGTTTTCCTCATGTTTTTTCGTTTTCTGTTTTACCAGGGACAACAACCTACGACCTACAACAGTCACGTCCCCCGTATCCCGTGTCCCGCTTTTCCCGACAAAATATATATATATTTTTTTTAGACAGCTCAAACGCTTGGAATTCGTAGAAATCGACGTGGCGGTATCTTTGACGATCGAATTTTTCATTTTTCGTCAACAATTCAAGCACGAATTTGAGAAAGTACGTTTTAATAGAAATATGAGACAAATTGTTAATACGTTTTCGAAAGTCCAGCATAAACTGCGGGATAGCAAGTAAAGAGACGGTGACGAAGATTATCGCGAGTTGAAGATTTTCTGTTTTCTTTTTTAAAGAAGAGGGAAAGAATTAAAATCCCGGTGTCTCAAATTTCTATGTTATCTGATATTTCCAACTTCTCCTCCCCGGCATGTCAACGAGGATGATTGATCGGCAAAGATACCGCTGCCGTTACTTACATTTTAGTTACTTTAGTTTTACCATAAGTTACGTGAACCTTAAGTCAGTGTGTGACGACCCGTTTTTATGTTTTATGATTTTTTTCTTGAACGGTGTGTTTTTCCGTTTTGTGATCTTGTCGTTTCTGTTCCGTTGAGTAAGAAGTGGAAAGAAGGCAACCGCACATGTGAGTTCAATCTTAACGAAATAGAGCGCGGAATTTTCGTATAACGCTCGCAAACGATATATCATCGCCGTCGTGAATTTTTAAATTCAATAGTTACCGTCATGCTCCGTTCGAATTACTTCCGCGCCGTTCCTTTCCTGGCTCGCAAAACGTATACCGTGTGTGGTTTCTGATTCGCGCATTCAGGGATGTTGGGGATTCGAGAATTTTTCCGGATTTTTTTATTTTTTAATTGAATTTTCGATTGCATACATAAATTCTCAAAAGTCTTCTAAATCCTTGGATTTACGAATCTTTGGATTTTAAATTTCTCGGATCTTCTTTTAGATATTTGGATTTACGACCTATTAAATTCTCGAAGTCGCGGGATCTCGGATTTTTAGATTCACTTTGAGACGCTTTGTTTCAATTCGAATTGAAGTTTGTTTTATTTACATCCGCGAGTCCTCCCGTTTGGGGATGCCCTCTCGGGCATCTGACGGTTCGCAGTGGGACCCGGTTTCCTTTGACAATTTAATACGTAAACGATCGCCCCGCTTAATCCGGAGGTCGGAGCAAACGCGAAAAGCGAGGGAAGGAACGGTCGGGACGGGAGAACGGAATCAGGAGGGACAAACAGAGAAAGAAATTATAAACGGGCTAATGGTTCGACGATACCAAATAAGACTGATGAGAAGTGTAAACGCAAGGTGTGTGTCTATCGGTTTGGTTTTAGCCCTGAGCAACTGCTCTGAGAGCGGAGGCGAGCCGGACGCCATGCTGGACATGCACCACCCAGGAACCGGGATCGACTCGCACCATCCGCAGTTTCACAACTCCTATGGTAATATGAAATTCATTATAATAGTAATTAATCCTCTCCCCCCACCCCCCGCGCAAACCAAGATACCGCGCGCGGGGTTCTCACGCGCTCGCGCTTGCAGCGCTTCTCAAGTCCTCGACATTTTTCGCGGCGCGTTTCTTTTTCGTTCACCCCTTCCCTCCCCCCTCCCCCCGACCTTTTCAGCATCGTGTGTTCAACGCTGAACCACGCATCGCCGACAACACGACAAACAAGTTTCGCTATCGAACCACCGAGAAATGGGACATGTTGAAGAAATTATTCTTCCCTTCTTCTTCCCTATTTTTTATTAAATTTTTGTTCCCATTATTGTCCTTTATTTAGAATCTCACATCTCCATTGGTTGGACGAAACATTCGGATAAATTAATTCGACTTTGCGCATTTAGGATTTCTTGGTATTTTTTGTTTTCGAGCTCGGAGCTCGAAGAACGGAATAATACAAAACCTTTTCCTATGGTCGTTTAATAATTCTCAGATACAAATTGGGTCACGAATTTCCATCATTGGACCGAGCGAAATTAATAATGACGGCAGCTGTTCGACATAAGACTTTAAAGAGCTCGCTTGCTCGGCGTGTCGAAATTGATAGATTCCATCAATTTGGATGTCGATTCGCGGTTTTTCCGAGCATCGCCTTAATGGTATTACTGTTAAACGTATTTGCTGGAATACGTTATTATGTACAAAAGCACCAGGAAAGCGAGAATATCTCGACGATTTCTCTCGATGATGTCACTCAAGCCATATCTACAATAATATCGAAGATTTTCAGTGAGCTTAAGTTTATTATAAATATCTTCGTTGCGTGGAGTTTTCGCACGGAAATCGTATCGGGGGCATTGAATTACCTCGCACACATATGAAACATATAAAGCGCATTTCGCGAATTGAATTAATTATCCGTATCCGACTTACATACCGTCGAATAAAATCGCGAGAGTCCGCGATAGTGCCATCATCCCCTCGTTAATTTATCATTTTTATCCTCTTCTTGGAAATTTTTCTACGGCCAGCATTCCGCACGGAAGCCGTGTTTATCGTTTAAATCAAAATCGTAAATCGGTGGTTTTTAACTTGCTTTTTAATTCGACGATCGCGCGCGCGAGGCAAAGAACGGACACCTTTTCGGAATTCAATTCGCATCCCGAAACAGATGTCTCGATCGGGGCCGATGATTAAATGACGAACAGCTCCTTATCCGGCGTAATCGAATTAATTAATCGGCCCTCCTCGCTTTTACATCGATCTAATCCGTTCCGGTGGATTGTTGAATAATGCGCAAAATTCTAATCGACGCGCGCTATTTCGATCCCTCGGCATGGCAGGCGAGAGAGCAGACGTGAATTTTGAATAAATTTCAGAAGAAAACGCATCGACGATTACACGGCACTTCGAACCGATCGGCTCACCATCGGATTAATCGACGCGACTTCCGATGGATTTTTAAACCGATCCCACCGCGATTGAATTTATAGACGCGTATATCTATGGAGCCGACTCGATATGCATTTCGTGTCCCCGCGACGACGTCGTTCCGCTTCGACTAATATTTTCATTCATTCGGCTAATCAGAAAGATGTAGAGAGCAATTCGTTCGCATCGAATCCCGGAAATGCATTTCAGCGTCGTGAATATAAAAACGATCTTTTTCGCCGGACAAATTATGCGCTCGCGTGCCATTTTTCTTCGCAGCCTTCGCAACTTTCGACAATTACGCCTCGAAATATCCGTCACAATAAAAATACAATCGCCGTCTCTTGACTATTCTATACCAAAACTCGTACTCGAATCTTGCCGTGAGTTCTACGTTTACGGTTTCAGCATTTCCGTAAAGGACAGAATCGATTGTGAATCTCGCGAGGATTCCGAAGTTCGGAAGCACGAAAAGCTCGGCGGCCGAAAGCCGTCGCAGCTTTATCTCAGCGAAGGAGCAACGCGAATCGGCCGGGGCGCGCGGATATTATTCAGTCGGGAGGAGCCGCGTCCCCCCTCGAGTTGTGCCCTAGCGAGAGCTACTAAGCTCTCGTCGAAGGGCGAATTAAGCGCGGCGAGTCAAGCTCGCGATCAGGAACTTTCGAAAGCAACAAATCCGCTGCAGCAGTCCGAACTCCTTTCCGGGCTGATTGGACGCGATTCCGCGCAGGAACGGAGACACCGCGGGGAAAACTCGAGAATTAAAAAATGAGAAGGAAAAACGCGAAAGAAAACGAAAGAAAGAAAAAGAGAAAGAGAGTGGAGAAGGGTCGAAGGGGGAGAGGGAAAAAAGAAGGCGGAAAGGATCGATGCGTCGTCCTCCGAGTCGCGAACGCGAATAACGTCGCGGGAGTATCAGTCGACGGAGGTAATCTCGCTACTTCGGCGGCTCATTGAAATCCCACGCTAAATTTCAATCTGACGTGTACAAAAGTCGGGGCCCTTTCCCTCCCTGTCACCAACCTTTCCCTCCCCCCCCCCCTCCCGATTTCACCGTCTCGTTCGAGACTCCGTTATATCGCGGAGACGTAGGACGCGAGCTCCAGGCAACGGTCCATTTCCGCGATCCTCATCTTCCCCACCTCCCTCCCTCCCTCCTTCCCGCCCGCCCATCCCTCTACGAGCACACACGATGTCTGATGGACCAACGTATACGCGTATACGGGGTGTCCTGGAAGCCCGGAGTACCTCGCGGGTTCTCGAATAAACTTATCGGGGAGAATGTCTAAATCTATGTATCAGGTTCTTGTAAATATTTGAACAACGGATTGACATAAAATTACGAACTCCCCTAAGGATTCGACGATCGGAGGGAGCGCGAGGAGAATCTAGCGCGAATGATTTTACGAGACGATACTAATAGAATTTTACCAAAATTTCGTGTTACATACTAAACTCGGTCCGCGATTCTTACGGGTTTGTGAATGGTTCAGAATCGCACTCTTCAGTCATATTTCGGTAAATTAGAAATTGAAAACTGGACATTCGTGATGTTTAATAAAATTGGGACACTTTAAGCTGATATTTTTAAAATCAATATTTGACAATTGTTTTTTTTTTTCAGAATTTCCAGATTGATCAAATGTCTGGACATTTTTACGGCAAAGAGATAGTTCTGAGACACCATATATGTACACGCGGCCGCTTTTCTCTCTCTCTCTCTCTGTCTCTTTCTTCGTCTCCCTGAAGTCCTTTTAAGGCTCTCCCCTCGCGTCCTCCCGTCCGCGGTGCATCCCTAACGTCCGTTTCCCTCGCCAATACCGAACGCCATGGTATCGGTTTGTATACACACGGATAGAACGGATACGTAGGGCGTACCTAATTAAACTTGGGGAAAGCGACCGGGCACGTTAGACTTTCAGCGCCCGAGAAGAGAGATAGAGCCTTCTTGCCCTCCCTTCCCGCGACGTCCCATTAAAGCCGCATCCCTTAAAGACACGTTTTATTTCGCGTATACGTCAGATGCTCGAAATCCTGAGACCTTCACGCACTTGCGACTCGAATTTCTTCAATCTTTTATCTCAGCGATATTGATCTGATACGAACAAAATAAACGAGTAACGTATTACAAATTAATAAAACAATTATGCATGTTATGTTAATAATAATTACGCTACGTTTAGGAATAATGACACTAACATTAGACTTAACTGTATAATAATAAACGTTTTCATAACATCAATAATTGGAGCGCCAATATGAGACGGTTTCTACAAAAGGAGCCCTTTCTTTCAACGCAACGAGTGCACTCTTTTTCTTCTTGCCTCCCCTTACCCACCCTTCCGCTCCAAAAAGGGCTCAATTCTTTTTAGATGATTTTTCGTACGCTTCCTTGACGCTCTCGTTCTCGCGGTTCAAGTATTTATTGTCCGGCGACGTTGAAGGGCTTCGACGAGATGAAACAAGGGGGTGACGGCTGAGAGGAGAGGGGAGGGGGTGGAACGACGGCTACGCGGCTTTTGTTCGGCCGCGGATTGAAATTTAGCGTAGAATTACAATGAGTCGCCGAGGAAGCGGCGAGATTACCTTTCTCAGCTGATGCTACCTTCGACGAGGAGGCTCGCTCGCTCGCTCGCTCGTTCCTGCCATGTTGTCCGATTTATGCATGAAAGGGCCGCATCTCGCCGGCCGGCAATCGGCCTTTTTCTTTCCCCCTCATTTTTCCGCCCCTTATTTCTCCGTCAGCCAGCCGGACCGCCGAGCGCTTATCCGTTATTATCCGAGCCGCTGTTATCAGCAGAATTCCTCTCAATAACACGCGGGTACTCTTTTGTAATTAAAATAGCCTCGTGTACACACTTATAAAATTATATTTATCAAAAGAGGCCGCGCGCGCGCGCGAGATACTAGAACCTCCGTTTCCTAGGAAAAATGAGAAACGCGTACCCGACGGGGAATTTTCTTCTCGCGATAACTTGAAACCTTTCGAGATCTCCGCGAGTTCGCTGTAAGGCTGTTAATCGCGGGAATCCGAAACTTAGCGTGGCTTGCGCTGTAATTACGTCGTACTCTTGCACCGCGACGGCTCAAAAATGAGCCAAGGTTTCGACGTAATTACGCGGTTCCGGGATCCGAGGTCGCAATTCGTCGGAGATATTTTCCCAGGGACGGAAAGAACTTATTTGTCTCGTCTTCAGATCTTGCTGTCGCGCGGGCAAAAGCGAAACAGCGGGGGCACGGTCTCTCCCCCTCCCCCCGCACGGCCTGGTTTGGGCGGATAAAATCTTCTCGGCGGTCTCTCCCGGGGGCGAGATTCGGCGGTATAGTCTTTAAAGCGCAGTTTCGGATGGAAATGGGCAAGGCGTACGCTGCGCGCCGAGCGCATCTCCCCGGAGCTAATTACCTCGTTACTAATGAAACTAATTGTTATCCTACCCGACGCGCCCTTTGATCTGGCTCCCGTTTAAAGATTTCGCCGTAATCTTCCCGGCGCGCTCGCTTCGCTCCGCTGTTTCGCCTTGTCAGGCGCACGCCCATCCGCGTAATGCACCCTCCCGCATTAACTTC